TGCAACAAACAGCCAATATTCTCACTGTAAAAAAAAATGAAATGTTGCCTTAAACTATGGTGCCATGCCTCCCCAGGAGGGAAAGGGTGTTGCTCCCTTCCACCTTTTTCTCCCCTGGCAGCAAGGTAGCCGCCACCTCAGAGCTTATTGGAAAGCCAGGTATGAGCCGGCAGTGAAGGGGCAACTGCAGTCTCATGGGAAGGGGGACAGTACTTGCTCATCCTTCATGCCCTACTGAGGTCATGAGTTGCCCCCCATAAGCGGCTCTCTGGCACGGACATGGCGCCAGAGGCAAAAGGACTTAGTCCAGAGCCCAGCAGCTTGCAGAAAAAAAGTGAATGGTCCATGTGTTAAACTACGGCGCCATGCCTCCCCAGTAGGGAAAGGGTGTTGCTCTCTTCCGCCTTTTCCCCCCTGGCAGCAAGGTGGCTGCCACCTCAGCTTATAGGAAAGCCAGATACGAGCCGGTGGTGACGGGGCAACTGCAGTCTCATGGGAAGGGGGACGGTACCAGCACATCCTTCACGCCCTACTGAGGTCACGAGTTATCCCCCACGAGTGGCTCTCTGGCATGGCCATGGCTCCAGAGGCAAAAGGATTTAGTCCAGAGCCCAGCAGCTTTCAGAAGAAAAGTGAATGAACCATGCGTTAAACTACGGTGCCATGCCTCCCCAGGAGGGAAAGGGTGTTGCTCCCTTCCGCCTTTTTCCCCCCTGGCAGCAAGGTGGCCGCCACCTCAGAGCTTATAGGAAAACCAGGTACGAGCCGGTGGTGACAGGGCAACTGCAGTCTCATGGGAAGGGGGGCGGTACCAGCACATCCTTCACGCCCTACTGAGGTCACGAGTTATCCCCCATGAGCGGCTCTCTGGCACAGCCATAACACCAGCCACACAGAGACCAATCTCGTAATTATCTGGCTCTTTGCAGAAATCCAAAATCGTGGCTGCATGACATTATATGATTCTCATAACCAGCTATAGAAAACAAAATATTTCACGATGCCTTTTCAGCAATTCTGATTGTTCGGGGGGAAATTCTAAAACAATAATGGTGCATCTTTCATCGAAATAATGAATGTAATCAATGTAGAGAAGAGTTAAGTAGAAATCATCTGCCTCACAGGCATTTGGAGGGGTGGGAGAGGGGGTATACTGGGGTTCTTGATGGTGAAAAATGAGTACTGGTGAAGGGAAAGTTGTTTGATCATTGTATGACCGAGACTTAAACCTGCAAGCTTAGTAACTTTTCCCACAGTGATTCAATAAATATAAAAAGAAAAAAAATTAAAATAAAATTAAAAAAAGAAATGTTTCCTCTGATATCTGTGACAAGGCAATTATGTCCACTATGTCCACTTTTATTCAGTATAGTATTAGAAGTCAACAGTTGGCATTGGGCAAATAAAAAAAATCAAGCACTGTAGCACTGACATCCTGTTGTTCATCAATTTGCTCGAGTAGGCATCAATAACGACTCCATTGTGAGACTTGTTGTTACTGTTTTCAGCATATCCAGTACGTCACAGGTAGCTTGCCAGGCTTTACCGTACAGGCAGGATACTCTCAGTAGCTTGTCGGGCTTTCTGAGAGGGGCAGAGGAATTGAACCCGGGTCAGCCACATGCAAGGCAAATGCCCTGCCTGCTGTGCTATCGTTCCAGCCCAAAGAAATAAGGATCTAAATTGGCAAAGACTATGTTAGATTATCACTATTTGCAGGTGACATTGCAGATAAATAGAAGACACTGAAGAGTCCACTAAAAAGTTCCTAGTAACAGAAAACCAATAAAGTAGCTGGGTACAATGTCAACAAACAAAAATCTGTTACATTGCTATATGCAAATTGTGAACTAAAATAGAGATCAAAATGAATAGTGAATATCAAAGAGATTACATGCAGAAGTGTCCAGAAACATTAAACCTGAAAATCAATTCAACAAAAGATACAAGAGATCTATACTGTGAAGACTATAAATCATGTGAGAAAGAGAAAGAAGACCTTAGAAAATGAAAATATATATATATATTCAGGCTCATGGATCAGAAGATTTAATATTGTGAAAAATGACCATCCTACTTGAATTATTGCATAAATCTAATGCAGTTTATATCCAAGTTCTGATGACATCTTCCAAGAACCTAGATCAATCAACAATAAAGTTTGTGTGGAATCATAAAGTACCCTGAATAGCCAAAGCCATACTGAGAAATAGGAAATTCAAAGGGAACTCATTACTTTAACTGAAACTATTGTTGAATTATAGTGATCAACAGCATGGGGTTGGAAAAAGGATGGATTCTGACCAATGGTTTGGAATCAAGTATCCAAAAGACAGATCAGCAGATCTGTGGTCAGGTAGCTTTCGACTAAGGAGCTGGGCACACGAAATAAAAATAACCTCGTTAGCAAGTGTTGTGGGGAAAAATGGGTGATCATATACTAAAAAAAAGCAAAAAAAAAAATCTGGATACACCTTACACAAAAGTCAGTCAAACCGGAACAAAGTTCTTGAGATCAGCTCAGAATCTACAACACACATTGAGAAATATATTGGCAGAACACTTCAAGATTTCAACCTGAGTTGTTTGCAGCAATATGGTTCCATAATCAAAGGCAACAGAAACAAAATTAAACAGGTGGAACTACTTCAAATTAAAGGCTTCTGCATGACAGAAAAAATACGATTTAAGTGAAAGACATCCACTGAATTGGAGTGAATATTTGTACTTATTAGATCAAGGGTAAAAATCCAAGATACATAAAGAACTCAAGAGATCAAGAACAATAACAAACTACGAAATAACCACTTCTCTGAAGACAGGCAGATGGCCACTGGGCACATGGTAAAGTGCTCATCATCACGTATCATCAAGGAAATCCAAATCAGGAAAACACTGAGATTTCATACCAGTGAGAATAACACATATTAGAAAAACAACTCGGAGAGCCCGGCAAGCTACCGAGAGTATTCGATATGCCAGACACAGTAACAACAAAGTCTCCAATGGAGACGTTACTGGGCCTGCTCGAGCAAATCGACGATCAACGGGAGGGCCCTTACCTTGCCTTTTACCTAGAAAAACAAAAAACTGGAAACTGAGTTGGCAGGGATGTGGTGTAAAGGAACTTGGTGGGAATGTTGCCTGGTTCAACCCCGATAGAAACCAGTTTGAGAGATTTCGCCAAAGAAGAATAGAGCTGTCATATCACCCAGCAATTCCACTTACTTGGTATCACAAGTGTACCTGTGGCATACTTGGTATCACCTCCAGGACACAAAAACATTCATTCAAAAGGGCATAGCATGTCATTGCTGCACTGCTAGGATATGGAATCAGCGTGGGTGTCCAGCAGCAGATGAGCGGGTATTGAAGTTGTAGCGTATGTACACAGTGGAATCCATGCATCCACAAGGGACAGTGAAATCAAGAAGTTCACTGCAATTTGGATGAAACTGTTAAGAGAAGTTAATCAGAGGAAGAAGAGCCAAACAAGGCGATGAGACTTAATAGAATTCCAGTACAGGGGAATGCAAAGTTACATTTACCCTTGATTTTCAATCTAAGGAGGATAGGAAAGGAAAGAACCTAAGACTGGGCCTAAGACTGGGAGGATGTGAGGTGACGGGTAGGGGTGAGGACCCTCTGAGTGTGATTTGGAGGTGAGGTGTATGCATTTAACTGAACTGGAGAGCCAGCATCACTGAAGGTATCGGATCCAAATTCCACCAGGAGGGGAACCTGGAGACACTGGGGGGAATCTGAAATTGCTGATAGGACTGGTGTTGAAACATAAGCCTGAAACTCAATTCTGACTGACTTTGTATATCACAGTATTGTAATAAAAACAAATGGGGGAAAAAAATTAAAAAGTAATGAGGAAAAGAGTGAGGGAGGGAAATAGAAAAAAACATAAAATAATTGTAAAGCCCAAAGTCATAATACAAGGCAAGAAAAGAGATATTATTTTTGTCAAGATAGAATTAAACGCGATGATTCATTGACCATGTTAAAAGGCCTCCCTAAATTTTAGTGGGAAACTGAAAACAAGTCGAAGGAAAAACCAGAAGGGAAGATCAGAGGGGGAAATCCTGCTGTCTTGGTCACAGCTGCCAGTTACCCTGAGTTGGAGCTGGAAACATCCAGACATCATTTTTCTGCAAACTGGGCAATAGTGTGTAGCCTACTGGAAAAGGGGCAGAGTTGTGTTTACTCTTGATGCTTCACAGTTAACTCTCCTGTTAGATTTTCTTCTCCAACAAATTTTAATTAAAAATGTTTTCCCACTTTAAACACTGCATTACAAAGTTGTTGGTGATTATTTGTTTCAGGCATTCAGTATTCTAACCCCAAGCCCACCACCACTGTCACCTTCCCTCCACCATTGTCTCCATTTTCCCAGCCACCCTTCAAGCCTGTCCCCAAAGAGGTCCACGAGAGGTCCTCTGTATTGCTTGGTACCACTAAATGGCTAACAGAATGACCAAATTTGTGAGAATTGTTTTATCTCACCACAGGGACATTAAGTCCTTCTCTGAGAGTTTCTAAGCTGTTGTTTCAAGCTGAGACTTCTGTGTTAACGTTTTGTTAGTTTAATTGGTTGGCTGTACATTGCATTCCCATTCAATCTGGTATGCTTCTACTGGGCTGTCAGCATTATAGTTTGGACGTGTCACATGGCTGCATTCGTGGCCACGTGCTCCAGAAAATCGAAAATTCTTCACTTGGAATTCTGATCTGAGGCATGGTGGTGGCTGCTGGGGTGTGAGTGCGGCTGCCAGGACTTTGATCAGTCAGGAACTTTGACTCCCCAAGATCACCCAAGTTCTCCCAAGATCGCCTGGGAAGTCTCAGCCAAGATTTGTTATCCAGGAATTATCCCACAAAATTTAAATGAAAATACCTTAAGGCTTTCTGCTCAGAATCTATTTACTGGCATCAGTATGGAAATAGACTTGTCTCTGTCTGCGAAACTTACCAACTGTGTGTATCTTTTCCAGCCTCTTTGATGGCTTTGCGGATGGACTGGGAGTTGCTGAAGCAATTTCCTATGTGGATCCTCAGTTCCTGACATACATGGCCCTGGAAGAACGCTTGGCCCAGGCTATGGAGGTATTTCTGATGCTCAGAGTGCAGAATGATAAAAATTCAAGGTTTAAGGTTTATTTGGTCTTTATGTTTTAAAGGTAAAGTTTTCTATACGTTCAGTGGCAGCTTTTTTGAATCATCACTGTGGCCAGTTTGCCTGGATTGCACTGCTTTCCAGTTTTTATTGCAGAATGGAAAATGGTCTGCTTAAATCTAGAAAATACATTTCCCTCCCACTGAATTATGAATATATGAACCTGAAATGCAAGTATATTTATGACATGAAATTGAAGATCTCTGTGTATAGACAAATTATTTCTCTTATTTTGTTCCCATGACTTTTAAATGTTTTCCTGATGCATCATGCCATTAGGAAGCTTATTTTGCCACATCACAAGTATACGTCCATATATTTGGAACATTCAGTGCTTAGGTTTGATTTGCCTTTTTTATCTTAATATAACTGAAACAGAAAAACTTGCTCATAATTGTCTTCGCCTAAGGTGGGAAGTCCATTTTCATGTTTGAAATTTTTCACCACACTAGTAGATGTCTTCTTTAAACCATAGTTTCTAGAGGCTGGAGGGATAATACAGAGAATAAGAGCTTACCTTGCATATGGCCTACCCATGTTCGATCCCTGGTAACCTATGTGGCCTCTGAGCATTGCCAGGATTGACCCCTGAGTGCAGAGCCAGGAGTCAGCCCAGAGTATAGCAGGTGAGACCCAAACTCCCCACAAGCACCGACCTCCCCCCACACAGAGAAGCCACAGTTTCTAAATTGTTTCAGAGAAACTAATTTGGATGTTGGATGTCCAAAAGATGAGCAAACAAAAATGTTATCTGTGTTGGAGGTAATGTGGGAAAAAAGGGAATTCTCGTCCACTGCTATTAAGGAATGATGTCTAGTTCAATCTAGTGAAAAACAGTATGGAGAGTTCTCTGAAAAGTGATCATATGACCCAGCAATTGTACTTCTTAGCCCTTTACTCCCAGAACACAAAAACATTGCATAGGACATGCGCACCATTATTCATTGTAGCACTTATCACTGTGGCTAGAGTACAGAATCAACTGAGGTATCCAACAGCAGAGGAGTGCACATACACAGTAGAATACTATACAGTTGCCAGGAAGGATGAAGTCATGCAGTTTGCTACAATTTGGATGCAACTGGAGGATAATCATGTTGAATAAAGTCAGAAAAAGAAAAGTACCAGATGATCTCACTTCCCTGTGGTCTATAGAATAACAGGACAAGGGAATATGAGGTGTAGAAGGGGGGAAATCCTGAGATGGCCCTGTCCCTGGATCATAGAGCTGAGGACATGAAGGAAAGAAGCTGAAGTGGGGAAAACAAGAAGCTGACGGAAGGTAATGGACACATTTGGCGGTGTAAAGGTGTGGAATAACGTTATATCTGAACCATAGAACCAGCAAATCTGAAAGCATGAGGTCTGAAGTACCACCACCACACTTAACAATGTGCATGTCGAGGGAGAGAGGGGCACGGGGCCAGGAGAGTCCATCTGGGTTCCTTGGTGGAGAGAACATGGTGGTGAGTCTGATGTTGGAAATTGGGTGCTTGAAACTCAACTATGAACAACTGTAATCACAGTACCACGTATTTTAAAAGGTTAAGACTTTCAGGAACATTAGAGTATCATTTTTATCTCAAAATTTCCCGAGGTAAGTAAGTACAGTTGAGGTTGGTAGGTCTATGGTAGAGCACCATGGACAGGCCCACGTGCCCACATGCCACACTGGGTCATGTGTGTGTGTGATCTCCCATGGAGACTGTTGGTCTCAGCACTGCTGTTCAGCAGACACTGCTCTGTGAGGAGAGTCAGTGAGATGCTGCAGAACTGCCGAGGCTGTGCCCCACCGGGTCCCACAGGCAGGAGGTGCAGCAGATCCTCCCCCTGCAGAGCCTCCGCCGGGGCCTCAGTACACAAACAGCGTGACCATGATCAGGAGGAGAAATATGAAGTGGCCCAGATCCACTTTCACAAAGCTGATAGAAATAGTGACTGTGGGATGAGCCCTGCGTTGATGATGGAGCAGGCGGCCCTTTCGCTATCTGGCACCCATAGAGCTCTTTCCTGCATACCTGTGAACCGTCACCCAATGACAGTATGTCTGCCTAACAAAATACAGCTATTCCGCAGACCAAAGACTCTCTTCCTTTCCCCAGCATGAACAGATGAATAAACAGTTCCGAAAGGGGTTATATTCTGTGCTGGCTTTATAATTACAAATTATAAGTTCAGTCCGTCACTTGAGTGCTGTCTTTAATAATTAAATTACAGTAAAATTGACTGCTTTATTAAATTAAAATGGGAAGGAGGAAAAAGAAAATGCCATGCAGGCATAAATAAACACATATGTAACACGCATTAGATAATGTGCAAAACTATTAGTCTTGTTTCTGTAATTGGTCATACAAGCACAGAACTGTATCAGTACATAGGATTTCCTCCTATAACTCCTTCTGTCAGCTGGTGAAGATGCTTGCCTGGTTGGAGCGAGCCAAGCATACCTCAAAGAGTCTGTGTTCTGGATCATTCTGCCTTATTGACAATTGTTGTTTTCTGGTAACATGCTTAGATATATACTTCAAATGACATTATCATAGAACTTCAAGTAGAAAAAAGTCTGGTCTGTGGAGGATAAGCTACTACCCCTAATAATAGGAGACTTGGATATTCAAAAGAGTCAGATCTGAGTCCATCCTGATGTCCCCATTGTGAATTCAAAATTTTGTCTTTTATAATTTGAGAAATTGACAAGACTAAGAATCTCTCTCTTTGATTTGGGGTCACACATGGCAGTGCCCCAGGCTTACTCGTGACAGGGCTTGAGGGCCATATGGGTTCTGACCTCAGTTGGCCACGTGCAAGGCAAGCATCCTACCAGTTTTACCATCTCTCTGACCCAGAATTGATCTCTCTTTATTTTTAACAATTTATAGTTACCCTCTATGTCTTAATTTCAGAAGGGTTCTTTATAGGGTTATTTGAAAAGTTCTTGGTTCACATTCTGTGTTTTACTCTAGGAGTTTTTTGGCTGAGTTTGTCATCTTTGCTTTCTAAACTCACTTGGGCACTCAGAAAAATCCATCTCTTATTCCAGTTTTAACGTTGCTTCTGAAAGGTTAAGTGCAGCTCCCTTGGGCTCCTATGACATGCCTTAAATTGGCACTTCCCTGCAGCCATACATAGTGATAGTTTGGTTCATTGTGCCACTATAGACCAGAGGTGAAGGGTCCCTTTCCTATTAGCAAGTGCCTCAGCGCTAAATTCAAGTCAAAACACCCAACCAAATTACTCATCAAATACCATTTTTGCTTTTTTTAGGAACCATTTCTAAAACCAGTTTTCTCGTCAGTCTGGGCTCAATCTCTAGAGGAAAATGGTCCTTTGAATAGAGGATTTTAATATGAAGAATAACTATAACACTGGCTTAGAGTAATAAAGACAGGAATCTATGCCAGTAATTGTTTGGGCCAGTAGAAAATAAAGTGACTACAGAAGAATAAAGGAATTTCAGCTGTAAAGACATGTTTGATACTCTGAGTTAAAGCATTCCCATTCCTGTGCCCAGGCCAATGCCCCATTTGGCGGGCACAGGCGACTTGCAGAGGTGTTCGCCCTGGGCTGGCTCATCCTACTTGAGAGCTGCCTGTTGGAACTCAGCAAAGATCATCCCTCCAGTGATGAGAAGCTCTCCCAGCTGGTGATAGAAGTACTCTGCTATGGAGTCATCCCTTTCAGGGCCCAGGGACTGATGGAGCCAGTCCGCCTCGCCCACTCGCTGCAGGAGTGTCCTGCTGGAGTGCTCCATGCTGCAGAGGGAGCCCTCAGTAGGGCACCCTCGCCCATTGCTCTCAACCCTGCAGACACAGCACCCAGGAGGCAGAGTCCTTCCTTCACGTGGAATCTTCCCAGCATTCCAGACAAGGGGGAAGTACTTAAAAGGCCCAGACCTGGTTTGCAGTCATGAATGGCAGAGAGACAGTTACTTTACCCCTACTGCCCTTCTTTTCTTTCCACAGTGTCTGCACAAAGAGCCAAATGTGTTCAGTATTGTTGAGTTTGTCTGAGTTTCTTTAGCAGAATGCCCTGCTGGTACACGTGTGTCAGCAAAGGTGGAGAGATTCCCTTATCCAAGGGGTGGAAATGGTCGAGTGCCCAATGAGAGATGCATCAAGTTTTGTTATCCATGGAAAGCAATATATTATTCAGCTATAGAAAAAGATGAAGTTTGCTTTTTTGCTGTCACATCCATGAGAAAAGACGACCGTGTGATCTCACTCATACTTAGTGTGTGAAGAAACAAACACGGGAGGAGGCAGACCCACTGAGAGCAAAGCCTGATTCTGACAATAGGAGTTGGTTACCCAGGCCAGGGGTCAGGGACTGACAGGGCCTTGGACAGGGTTAGAGGGGTGTGACACTTTGCAATCCTAAAACACACACATAATTGGTGAACCATTGTTGCTGTTTGCTAATAAAGAACTGTGCCTTCTTTGCAGACCGCCCTGGCACACCTGGAGTCTCTCGCAGTGGACGTGGAGGTAGCCAACCCGCCAGCCAGCAAGGAGAGCATCGATGGGCTTCCCGAGACCCTGGTTCTTGAGGATCACACCGGTAAAGGCCCTATCCATCTCTAGTGTCAGGTCACCCACTGCCAGGTCATCTGGAAGAAAAAATATGAAAGGAAAGTTTTATTAAATAGCTCTAAACCACATCCTGACAAACTTTCACGTAGTGAAAGAATACTTTCTGTTTTCTAAGTGGTTGGCTGAGAAAGATATTTTTTAATCAGCTTTCCTACAGAAGCAGTGTTCAGTAGTTCAATTCAGATAGAAACGTCTTGCCATTTCAGGAGTCAGTGTTTGGTGCCTTTTGCCTTTTGGAGATAGCTCTGGGTCTGGCTGGTATCCAGCTTGGTCTTGGTGGGACATGGGTGGCAGTAACCTTGCTCATCGTTGCAGCGATTGGCCAGGAGCAGTGCTGCCCGATCTGCTGCAGTGAATACATCAAGGACGACATAGCCACGGAGCTGCCCTGTCACCACTTCTTCCACAAACCCTGCGTCTCCATTTGGCTCCAGAAGGTGAGCACCAGAGTGACTTCAGCTTCCGAGTAGATTCTAGGTTTCTCCTGTAAGGTAGCAGCATAGTGGCTTTTTCAGTTATTTAATTTAGCTGCGTGTTTATACTACTTCTAACACTAGTGTTCAAGGTAGTTCTCTTTTAATGTTTACAGTTAATTACAAGAGAATGTTTTCCTTCACTAACATTCCTGAAGAATTATATGGGCTCATAATGACACTTGGCATGTCCTAGGAAATTAAATTTTGGGAAATGAGTCAATATCGAAACATTTTATGGTTAAGACACTCATATCTCTGAAATGGAATTTCAAAAGCATCTCAAGCAAAGAAGCCTTTGGCACTCTGCAGAGGATGGTAGAATATGCAGGTACTCTGCTAATGTGAACATTGTCTCTGAAAATGTAAATAAGCAATATTTAGTGAACCACCAGGAATCTCTTAGTCTGCTTCTCTATATGCTATCATTAAAATTTGTTCAAAAACTTCTAGATATTTTTTTTTTTTTTTTTTTTTTTTTGCTTAAGAAGAACCTTTACTCCCATAATGTGGACTCCTTTCCTCCGTTCCAGCCCTTCTCTCCGTTGTCCTTTACAATGATGGGGATTCACATACGTGCTTCTGTGTGTGCTGTGGGGGTCACACCTAGGGCTGCAGAGAGACCCTACATTGCCAGGGTCTGTGCATGGTGCCTGCGGGCAGCACTAGGCATCACTCACACAGCTGCCTTGCAGTGACCAGCACACTGCCCAGGCTCCTGTGAACAGTTTGCCTAAAGGATAGAAATTCACAAATCACTGCCCGGCTGTTCCACTTAGTCATATGGTTCTTCTCTGCAGCCTTTCCCCTCCCTTTTCTCCTTCTTCCCTTTTCTTTCACTTTTGTCCCTTTTTGGGGGGAGTGAGGGCAGGGGGAGCTTTTGTTCCCTTTCTCCTCACAGATGATCCTTGTTCAGACTACTTAAAAATCTTTTTTGCAGCCTAAGTAGAAACACTTGCTGTTCCTGTGGGAATCTAATGCTTCTCTCATTCCGCCTGCCTTCAGCATCACGCCTCTGTACAGTACCTCTGATTCGCTGCACCCAGTATTATCGTCCCCTTTCCCGGCTGTAAGATTACTTGATTTAGGAAGGTTCACCTAAAATTACACTCTTTTGCCCTTAATATCCCATTTCTTTAAAATCCCAAGATATCCTCAGATTTAGAAAGGTTGCAGTATCTGACACCTGCTTTGTGTTGGCCAGTGCTGAGCGATTCCTGCATATTTTCGCACCCAGCCTGGCCGAGATGAGCGGGGTTCAGGCGGCTCCAGCCGGTGTGGTCGGTGTGTGGCGGTAGTGCCCACCTCCCTGTCGGACTGACACTTGGCTGTTTGAGAGGGGACAGCTTTGTAGTGACTAGGCCTTTCGTGGCAGGTAAGGTCTCCTGTTTGCTCTGAACTGTTGCTTTTGGCTCCCTGCAGTCAGGAACGTGCCCCGTGTGCCGCCGCCACTTCCCGCCCGTCGTCGTGGAAGCCCCTGCAGCTTCGCCAGCAGAGCCTGAGCGCGACGCCCCACCGTCCACCTCCTAAAGCAACACCGAGGGAGTCCCGACGCAGTGCATCAGCAGATCCGACCGACCGACATGCAGATGATTATATAGAAATATATTGGAATGCTCTGTGTAGTCTGTGCAGTGGTTTAGAAAGGGAATTGCCTTCTAAACTAAGCTTAGGTTGCAGGAAGTGCTAAACATTTTCCAGCTGAATGTTGAATCCTTAGTTGACTGTGTTCACATTTTAACTGTAAAGTCATGCTTATCTGTGAATTCTTCCAGAAGAAATAATCATCTATGTGGCATATAATATTGTTTTTGTCTGAGCATTGCCACTAAGTGATTATGATTAAGTTCTCCTATTTGCATCAAATGTGAAGACTGTGATCACAGCAGTGGTAAAATTTGGTTTCATTGGAAATAAAAAGATTTCTAAAACATGTTTTTCTGCATTGATTCCTTTACTTTTGCCACATTAAAACCTCTTGGTAACTAACACTGAGTGGTTTTTTTGGAAAGTGTCTACTTTCCCATCTTTGTTTAAAATTAGGAATTTTTACAAAGTCAAAGGCTAAAATTCTCACTAGAGCATTGCAAAATTTTAAGGTCTAAAATTGTAGATAGTAAAGTAAGTTATTTTCTTCAAGTGGTGGATGTACTTAAAGTTATATTAATAAAACATACAGCATCATTGCTATGGCTGGAGCTAGAGGTGAACCTAGTAATGCGTAAGGACTGTGTTTGGTGCTCAGTGCGCTGTGAAGTGATTTAGGCGACTGTAGGATAAAGTTATACTTGAAGGTCCAGAACACTTGAGGCATATTAGTTTAATAAATATTGGGTGATTTATACTGTCTGAGATAATTTTGGTCCTGATATATTTTGGGAAGTGTGAGGACATGCATAAATGCTTTAACACGTACTCTGTTATATTCTGAAGGAAATTATGAATACTTCAGAAAGCTAGAATATTAATTGTACTAACTTGTATAAAAAATGAAACTGATAAGACTGTTAATGGCCATTAATACCATTTTTAAAACCTACCTAAGCTATACCTAGATTATAATTCATTCTTTTAAAAGTATTTTGGAGTAAGGAGTGTTCCTATTAAATTCTTAGTATTTGTTGCTTTGTTGTACCATAATGTGTTTTGGTAATATCGTTTACCTGGAACTGAAATAAAAAAAATAGGTAGTTCAAGTTAAGCTGATTACACCACGGGTGAAGAAGGGAGTAGATAGGATGATTGCCTAGTGTGAATGGAACGAGTATGTGTATAATCCCTTTCTTATTTTCCTTTCTCTAAAAGAGATAAGGAGATTCTGACCTCAGATTTGCCTTCTGTACGAGTTCTTTTCACAAATGTCTACAATAAGGGAAACAACTTTCCTTATTCTTTTTTTATTGAAATGTGATCCTTTGGGTCATCTTGTGATTATAAGACCCCAAATTGCTATTGCATAGCTTTCCTTCTGTGTGATCGCACTGATAGTAGGCAAATATGTGCAAATCTGGAAATAATATTTAACTTCCATATATGACTTGAGATCAGCACCCGAGAATGATGAGCGTTAGAATACACATGAGCAAGTAAAACAGCAAAGCACTTGATGAGTTCACATCTACCCAAGTAGTACATTAATTATTTATTTAGTCTGAATATATAAAAAGAATACATGGCTTCCCCAAAGAAAAATTTTGTTTGTGTAATTTCTCTATATTTCATCAATTTTATCTGTTCATAAATGAATTTTTGCTGTTGGCTTAATACAACACTTGCATTCTAATTTTTGCATATATTGTAAATGTGTCTGGTATTTACAGCAAAAAAAAATACTGTGTAGCCTTTAATGGGTAAAAAGAATTGAACATTGCATGCATGTAATGTGGTGAATTTGTAATTTAGAGGTTCTTTGGGGCTTCTATGGCTTTGGAAATGCTGACATTCAGGCCTTAATACTGCATTAGCTAGCATGCTGCCCTGCTGATGTATATAGTCACTGTTGTAAAAACTGATCTTTGCTTGTTTTCTACTCTGATCTTTCCATACCATATTTCACTAATGATTTGTTAGTGTCAAGGATTCAAATCAGATTAAAATTACTTCTCATGTGTATATTGTGGAAATTTGTGGTTAGTGTAATTTTTTTGGTTTATTTTCAAAACTTTGTGGCTAGTGTGATTTTTTTTGTTTGTTTTAAATAATATTTATCCATTGTGGCACTTACTGGTTAAGCTCACATTACGCCAGATTTCTCTCTAATAAAAGCCACATATTATATTTAGGCAGTATTAAGGGACCTTGATTTTCTTCTCCTAGATAGCAGCTGTCCCAAAGAAAATAACTCTTCGCCTGTTGAGATTTAGCTCTTGTCTTCCTGTTGTTGAGGAGCTTGGCCCCTAACTGAGAGCTGAACTGCAGAGAGCGGCTGTGCTCTCTCATCCACCCACCACCCACCTTCATCCTTGGTGCCCCTTTGTCTCCAAACAGCTGCTATGAAGGAGCAAAGTTGAACAAGAATTGACTTAAACCTTTTAGTTTAAAAAAAAAAAAGATTCAGGTTTTAGCATTTTTATTGTAACAAAATGATAGATGATAAGGCTAGTAAGTTTAAATACCAAAATATTGTTTGATTATAACTTGGATCCTTTTGAGAAAGTTAACACTATATGAGAAATAAGTATGAATGTTAATAAAATTGTTTTTCTCATTTCTCTGTTAAACGACTTATTCTAATTTTTTTTATATTTTCTTTTTCTCATAATATGAATGCTGATATTTAAAGGTAGATCCATGTGGTTTTCTTTTGTGTTTCTTAATTGTTTATCTCTAAGCAAACTAATTCTTAAGATTGTGATCTGATTTTTTATATATAAGCTGTAAAATGTATATGAATTGTTAAAATGGAATGCAAGTTTTTCAAAAGCCCAGGTCTAAATGTAATGATTAGTTTTTTGTTCTACAACACCAAGTCATCATTTTCCATGTAAATCATTAACAAATAAACAGGATATACTCAGTGGTCTTTTCTAACATTTAATGTGCAGTCATATCACTTCTGTCATAAACCCACAGCAATAGGGTTATGGCAAGGAACAGCTTTTAAGAAAATCTATAGATGACTTGTGAGCACATGATTTTACCTCTCCCGAGCTTTGATCTAGGAAGGCCCTCCTTCTAAAGCCAGGATTTACAGAAGTGGCTGATGAACCTTCCTCTGGAAAAGGCCCTACAGGAGTAGCCCCTGCCTTCACCTGCCTAAGGGATAGTAGCATCCCTGTGGGTTCAGCCAAGAGAGAGGGCATAGCCATGAAGACCCTCAGGACTCCCTCCTGGGCAGCTATGAAGCACAGTCAGCTACCTGCTTCAGGAGAACTTTGTACAATGCCAAAGGCCTCTGGCCTCTCACCCAGCTTTGAAGGGTACATTGAATACCCAGAGTAGATTTCACATTAAAAGAAAACTATTCATTTTGTTTAGAAGCTTTAGAAAGTTTCTGGTTCTCTTTCTGTTAATAGAATAACAGTTTATATGTCAGTGAATCAACAGTGTTAGAGCTAGCAATTTTGGCAAATCCCTTCTATAGCATCTGCATCCTAAACATAAAAGTCCATTTATTACAGGATATTCACCTGGCCACTGCTTAAGGAACTGGAGTCGTTCAGAATCCCTCCATGGGCGGCATTTCATAGGCCCAATCATGTCTCCCAGTAGCACACATGTGAAACAGCTCCTGCCTTTTGTATAGGGCCACTTTTCTCATTCTGCACCGGCCAACTCTGGTGGGGGCTCTGCCACCACCTCCTTAAAATGCTGCTCAGAACCACAGTCCTTGCATTATTGCCAACCTGAAGTGACTAACCTTTACTGTCAGATGGCGGTTCTCCTGCATCATTCTCTCATGTCTGAATTCCCAGGCATGGCAGGTAACAATCAAACAGCTTCTTCTTAACTGAATTGAAGAACTAACTCCACCCTTATTAAACTAGTCATGTTCTTTACACATTTGTAAGTATATATGAACACACATATACATTGATTCTTTCTCTTAGTCTTGCGCAATTCAATATTGATAAAAGCATGCCTTTGAATGCATGCATCAATAACTAATAACTTTTTCCAAATTATTGATAATTTAGAGAACTGAATGAAATATCTCTTTCAGAATATCCCTATGTGACTCTAATTCCATTAATCAGGAATCGAAGCAACTAGAAACCATGTATGTACTTTCCCTGTGTTTTATCTTTCCTAAAAGAAACTGTTGTTTGGCTGGCAAAAAAATTTACACTGTCAATGGAAATGCCTTATTGTTAGTGAAACTATTCTACTTCCTTTCCCAACTCACCCCATACATTGTACATTTTTCTCCCCTACAGTTCAATAAGTAACCAAAGCCATGCTCATTTTTATTAAATTCTGGAATATTTTTCTCTCAAAAATTATATTTAAAGTAACATGACCTTGATAAGCCAACCACTCTGCTTCTGTTTTTGCTACCAAATCTAAATTATAGGTTAACTACAACTATTTGCTCATTGTTAAAGGTTTGGGCAGGAGTGGGGGAGAGTTAATCTAATTTGCAACTTACATATCTCTCAGGTTTTATTCCTCACATCACTCCAAGCTGTGGGACTTTGCCAGTTGCCTCCATTCGCTTGGTTCCTGGTTGCTGCAGGTTGATGCAGAGTCTGTGCATGACTATGCATGACACGTGATGACCCTATGCTGCAGATGAGAGTATCTGAGCTTAGGAAACTGCACTCTTTGCAAGGGGCTCCTGGCAGGCGGCCACACCTGTATCCCAGAGCAGGACACCTGTTGGGCCTGCAAAATCTGCTCTCACCAGGGACTGGGGAAGCAGGCTTTTCTAAACAAACATCTTTGAAAAGAGGAACAAAGCCAGCAGTGCCTCTTATTAGAAGACAGGAGAAACAAGAAACCATATGCATTGTCTCCGAGTGCTACAGGGACGGGACAGGGCAGGCCACACCTAGGCAGACCCAGGGCGGCACTCAAGACCAAGTCTACCAGTGACCGGCTGCTGGAGCTAAGCAGATCTGGCTGGCTCTTTCACTTGGGCAAAAAAGGAAGTCTCTGCAGGAAAGAAAAACTCTCCCCATGTCTCCAAACAAGGAGGGATATCAGTTGCAGGCAGCCCTGTGATGGAGTGAGTGGAGCAAGAGTGGCTCTGAGGAACAGAAGAGGTGCAGAGAGGGCGAATTCAGATCCCTGTTGAATGTGTTCCAGACACAAGGAGCTTTGGAAACTAGTTTTCCATGCACTGTTTTGGTTGGTCTTAACTCCTGCTGGTTGAGGGGTCAGGTTTGGAAGAGTGGGGTCTCCTAAGCAGTGCTCAGGGGGCAGGGGCCTCTTCAGGAAATACCAGTGTTCATTGCGGGACCCAAGAGAGCTGGGGGGCTAGGCTTGTGGTGCCA